AAACCTGTCTGTAGTACAAGCTCAAAATTTTAACTAACCTATCATGACTACTTTTTTTTCTCTGTTAAAAAATTGTTCAGATGCAAATAATTCCATTGCCAGGCAGTGGGTACCCCAGCATGCTGCAGATAATAAAAGAAAATCCTAGTGGTATTTAAGGTATTATTCAAGCAAGAACTCTGTCAGCCCACTACATACAAATTAATTTCCTCAGTTACTATATAATTCCCCAAAACCAGTACTTTATGATTTGTGTAGCAACAGAAAAATATGGTTAGACTGCCTTCCTCAGCTAAAAAGTTAATATTCACTGTTAGCTGAGAAATTACTAGATCGAGTCTAGCACAATGACTACATGCAAGGCTTCACACTTTTCATGGTTGTTTATCTATCTTCTCTACCTCTTAACAGAAGAGTCAAATTATCCTACTACACAGTACCTCTGAATGATTGCGCTTTGCAGGGAATTAAAAAGAGAGCATTTCTCACAAATAAAGAATGATAAGGTGTCTTTTTTTTTTTCTTCCTTGATATCATCTTGAAATTTCAATTTTAGGTTGCTAATGACTTAGAGAGGAGTTGAAATGTATAAGCAAATTTATGATCCTACCAATGGTCATTAGGAAGAAGTTGCTGAGCTACTAGTGATGAACATAATCACAGGAGTCAATGATAGATAAAGCTGGAACACAGGGCATTTTAAATCTTTATTCAATGCCAGTGCATACACTTTGTTGTTGGTTAAACCTAGACTGCAGGCAGATAAATGCAATGCTGAACTTTAATAACACATAAATGTGCTGATATATAAAGTCATCATGCTGAATGATCAAAGTTTCATAAAATTGCACTGTTGCTTCTTTTTAAATCAAGAGATAAAACTGTGACTGTATATGTGTTAGTATGTATAACTCAGTAAAAAGGTAACAAATCACCAACAGAAAACCTGTAACAGTTTATATGTGACTACTATACACGACCTGTTATACACATGTATTTGCCTTCTTCACATTCAGCCTGCCACCACTGCTATCCATACCTTCATGTCATTGTGAACTCTATTTCTGCAACACAATGATCCTTGTGAATTAATAAACCATGAACTTCAGCAACTATGTTCCTTTCCTGGTTCTGGCACTTAAAACTTAGCCATATCAACATTGAGTGCCTACTTGTGAACCTAGTCCTTACTACAGAAGTAAACTGGATTCACAAAAATATGGAAGTTAGTTATTCACTCCCACATGCACCAAAATAACTAGAACCTATTCAGTTTAGCAATCAAAGGAAGGAGTCATCAACCAGCCATTTCTATCTGTATTTAAAAAAAAAAAAAAAAAAAGGTGCAATTAATCTTTAAAATTCAAGGATCTTATAGACATTAATGAAATATCATTAAATATTTTAAACTTTCTGTAAGTTGATATATTTTAATGTTTGCAATGGAAAACCTATATTCACAAATTTTAATTTTGCAGTGTGAGCCTTGAAAGTTTAACTGAATACTTGCTAAATTGTGTTCTGGTTCTAAGATGTGAATTTTATTTCAAAATTCCTATATTCTGGAAATAGAAAGCACTAATAAAAAGTAATTTCACGTGGCAAATCATCAATCTCATTCATGTCATTGTGTCCAATAAGGTGGAAATGATTACACAAGGTGGTAAAATCTTTGCTCCCTGTAAGTCGTTAGTTTTATGCTTGTTTTCTCTAAGTTAGGATCTGATACCAGTAGTGTGGGGATCAGTTTATATTAATCAATTACAATAGTGACTTGAATTTCATAAAGTTATATGGGATTACCATGCAATTGTTTCATTCATGGAGGTATCAATGCCATCCAAAACTCCTCTTTGCCTCTTAGCATATTTCTTCTCATGTTCAGGTATGTGCTACAAAAACAGACAAAGCTATTTCTGGCAAATAGACAAGCTATGCAAAAAAAGAGTTCTGTAACACTTCCATTAAAAACCTTCCCCTTTCTTACCCGTTCTGTACATACTACAGGAGTCAATTGCCAAGGTAAAACTCAAACCTCCTTAGATCAGTGGTATACCTTACTGGGGCCCCTCCAGCACAGAAGTTTCCTAACCCATCTTTTTACCCTTCCTTGGAGGTCTGTAACAATTTCCTATAAATGTTTTACTACTTCTTTTAGTTACATTTTGTGATTGTCACATTAGCTAACCCACATATGTAATTTTACTCAAAATACCACAGCCTCTAACTAGATCACCACATCACTTCCCATCTTCTGAATTTGTCCCTTTTTTAAATTCTATACTCTGATATTTTTATATTAAACCATTTAACTAAGATCGTTGTGTTTCTACTGTAAATGTTTACTGTTTTGTTCTGAAGTATCATTTCCTCACATTTTTACTCAGATTCTCTTCAAAAGAGAAAGTCAATATCCTTTCTCTGGGCAATGCTTTCATTTATTCACTTCAACAACTTAAAAAATTACTTATCCTTTAAAAGTTGGCTAATCTCTCTCCCATCTTTCACTACCTATCCTTTTGCTAAAACAACACACATAAAACTGAATACTAAAATTACAAGGCTACTTCCCTGCTAATTTCTTACACAGATATGGCCTGTCAGTTCTAGATGACTTTGGATCAGCCCCAAACAAAAGAAAATATTCTGGGTAGTATAATCCTGCACGGAACAATGTGATCTGTGTAAAAACTCACTTACTGAATCACCAGCACCTCTTTCCACTCTTAGGAGCTCTCCCATTGAAGCAATGCCTGAATTAGTGCAGAGTGATTTGTGGCTTTCCAGCTGTCATTCACTCTTAGGAAATACAATACACAATAAAATAGTACTCAGCCTGAAGTTGTAGTCTGCAGTGTCTTAGGAACAGTGCATTTTGCCTGCTAAACTTGTTTTCAAACAAGAATTGTAGCCCATTATTTCTATAACCCCTCAAACACATTTCATTCCTGGTGAAATACTCTGTTGGTTGCACAGACCCATAAAGGAGGAAGGGCAAGGAATTGCTTCTGTTAAGAGTCTGGTCTATGAAACAAACGACTGAGCTGAAGACAAGGGGGTTTGCTCCAGTACTTTGCCATTCATGCATCTTTGGCAGAGAGAAAAGTACTGGCAAGCCTAACAGCAGGGGCTAGAAGTGACCTGGGTGCTCTGATCTACTGGCTTGGGCACTTTGCCATCTGCCTGACTTGTAAAAGTTGCCCTGTTTTACAAAGAGTATTGCTTAGCCATAATTCACCACTAGAGCTGCCTTGTTTCTTTGACCAGAGACAGGAGAGGATGTTGTGAGGTGCAGGCCCCATCTGAGGATCCAGGAGCCTAGGGACCTACCTTCAGAGTGAGCCAAGGAGCTGACTGAACAAAGCCAGTCACAGAGACTGTGTAATGCCTGCTTCATCAAGGACTTTTGGAAAAATCTATGACAAGTTCAGCTCAGCCAAAACCACCCGACCTTTAGACAAGCACTGTAGCAGAACTTGTGCACAGAAGAAAGTTTTCTGGTGGGTCTCAGGCACCCCTGGCTTCCCAGAAAACTTAGAAGGCTGGATACGTTTTTTTTAGGTCTATTGCTCTCTTGAATTTACACGTTAATTAGCCTGACCTGCACATTAATTACCTAAGAGCTTTTTCTCCTTTAATTCTTATACAGTTGATTTAAGAAGTAAAAAGATAGGACCAGGAGGTAAATATGAGAAAAAAATCATAACAAATACTGGGGTTAACAAAGAGTAGCCATTGTTTAGTAGGCACCATGACAGCAATTATTTTAAGGAAAGATTTGGAAAACAATGCTTCAAGTATTTTTATGTCGAACTCCTCCCATGCTCAGGGGTTTTCATGCTTTTAGCTATTACATCTGCAACTGAAGCTAACTGTGAAACTAGCAATTAATTTATCCCATGGTACATATACACATATTTGCAACAGTAAAAGTGAGTAAGGGTGAATACTAAACAGTGTGAGTAAAAGTTTGAACTTTTGTACCACATTTTGTCATTCACTGTTTAATCAAATACCTGCAGACTCCCACAGTGAAATTTTCCCTGTTTCTTCTTGTCGCTTAAATCACTAATGCTGTTAACACTCTGCTGTTATTTTTAAACAACATACAACAATCAAAAGGAAGCTGACCTTAAAAATGGCTGCTTGAATTGCCAGGAAGCAGAGAATGACATGAAGTATAAAATAGAACAATAAAGGCCTACAATTTGTAAACAGCTTTTGATCCTGTAACATTTAGTAAAAACAGGTCTCCTTAGGAACGCATGTACACATTAAGACATTTTTCAAGATTTTACCTTTACAAAAACTACATTAGAACTCACAGTCTGGTTCTTGTATTGTGTTCTATTCTTAAAAAAAGACAAACACAAAGGGAAAAATATCTCTCATAGAAATTAATTATTTCTGATTATTTAGCCTCAGATTTGAAAGATTAAATATGAGATATAGTGTTGCTAATCTTATTTGGAAGACATAATTGATAAAAAAGCATAGTGAGGACATGTTAACAGTGCTAAAATTATCTAGAGCACTCTGTTCATGTACATAATTACCAATAATTTAAAATTATCCATCTGAAATCAATTATTCATTATTCTATTTTATATTTAGAAACCTCTGCAAAATAGAAATTTTAGTGAACAAAAAGCATACAGATGTTCCTAAGAAAAGTGGAACCTGAGACATGAGAAAAAAAATGTATTTTTTGTCCTTCTTTCATCTGAAATCAATGGAACATAATAATAATAACCGTTTCTTAGTGACTTGTATGGAATTGGAGGTAATAAATAGATAAGGACTGAAATTTTCTGATAAAAGCAACTGCAGTAATACCTGTAGACAATCTGATGTCTAAGCAGTACCTCCTGAAAGTTTAGTGAGTGCATTTTTCCACTTCTAATGATTTCTTGAAGGGTGAGGTGGTTTTTTTTAAATTATGCCTTTGAATTAAACTATGACTACTAGTATCACATCTATAAAATGACAGCCTGAGTTACCTGTATGGCTGTGAGGATATTGGCTAATGCCTGGCCATATGTGTCATGACAGTGAACAGCAAGAGCACACAAAGGAATTTCTTTCATAACAGCTTCCAGCATTCTTTTCATGCTTCCAGGAGTCCCCACACCAATTGTATCCCCCAGGGAGATTTCGTAACATCCCATACTGTACAGCCGCTTAGATACCTGATTAGAAACACAGAAACACAAAGAGGCAGAGACAAAAGAATATAAAATAGGATTGAGAACATGCATTAAAATGGACATACTTTGTAAAGGTTTCAAGTTTTGATCCACAAAAATAGACTTATGTATCAGAAACCCTCTATTCATTCTTGAAAATTGTCACCCAAAAAGAATGTCCCATAGATCCTCTCATTTTAAATTTATAGTTCTCCGTCTGTATGTGGAATAACCAACCAAGCCAAAGCCATCAAAAACTTGCTTTTTGACCCTCCCACATAATACAAATAAGCAAGATTTTACACTATGAATTAAATTTCTGTCAAGTTCTTTCTCAGCATATTCCTCTGGCAATTTCCCAGCTGTTTGGTTTTCTCTGTGTACTTTTCAGCTTACAAGTTGTGCAGGGTAAATACCTGCCCTTTTGTTTGCTTATTACATGGGGCCAAGCACATGGCTGAACTAAGACAATAAATAATTAACAAGAAGCCCTATTTTGTTTTTTCTTGGCACTGAAAACATCAATGAAAACTAAAGTTTTAACATGTTGCAGTTAATATCAATTTTGCTTTACTTTTCATGAATCAAACATTAAAATACTAACAGAGCAAATCTGCAACTTAACATTCTAGTCTTTTAGACTTAAAATTTTACTTAATACAAAAAAAAAACATATAGAAATAGTTCTTATTTATGTAGGTAGAGCCCTAAATGTTTCTGGAATTACATCATTGAGGAGTTCTTTGTATGAGTAAAAGATCTGAGGTCTGGCTCCATAATATTTGTTTGGAGAGAGACATACACTCAGAAGCACAGAATCATGTTTGCAACAAAAATATTGCTTTAGAAATGAGGAATTTTGAAATGTAGGATCTTTCCATCTTACTTTTGTTAAATTTATTTGGAAAGGGTTTCATCTTATTTTCAGTTGCTGAATATGTTTATTCCCTTTAGGATTCCCCACTGTGTACCAGTGATCCCAAAAGGCCACTACACTGGAACAGAGTCCCAGTCTGGAAATTAACTGTTTAAAAATGAAAAAAAATACAACCCTTTTCCAAGACATCTTCAGTTGCACTGCACTCTACTGTTAAAGCAATTCCAGGACTTCATCAGTGGGACTGCTGCGAATATGTCTGAGGAAGCTGACAAAGTGCTGCACCAGCAGTCTCGGAAGTGCTGGATTAATATTGCTGTTCACTTAATTCAAAGAACAGCTGAAAAAGAATTTCAAGGAGTCTGAATTATCCTGCTTAAAGCTTGGAAGTGCTATGGCTATTGCAAATGCAATATTAACTCTTTGTGCTTTAAAGTCGAAGAGCCCCTGGTTCGTATCACCATAAATTCAATATACGCTTTAAGAAAGGGATATTCACCAGATTGCAAGAGGGGATTATAGGCCACCACATATTTTTATATCTTCAACACATGGCAAGTGTTTTAACTGAACTACTGTTGCAAGAAGAAAAAAAGGATCATCTGCAGCTAGTGGTGGATTACCTTTAGTTAATCACCAAAACTCAGGTTTTAAGATTGGGATAAAGGAAGCCAGTTGCACTTTTTTCTCATGCTCTTTTTAATTAATGAGTCAAAGTTTTTCTATATGAGAGTTACAGCAATGACAAAGAGACCACATAAACTGCTAGAAATCATATTGCATTCACCTCCATTCCATGCTCAGTCCTTAAGTCTTTCATCTTTTTGAAAATGAAGTTCTGAAAGATGAAAGAAGAGAGGGGGAAACTGCTAACAAGCTGAGCATCATCACTGACTTGTCATGATCTAACCTTAAACTGACCCTTAAAAAGATATCTATATTTCATTTCAAGAAGAATGTGCATGCTTGGAAGCTGAATGGGAGTTTTTCATACTGAATTTTCTACCCTACCATAGTAGAAGGCAGCTCATTAGTGATAGTTTTGTAAATTCTCAATGTGAACTTTTGGGAGGAGGGTGGGAGAGAAGAGAACACACTGTTTTGCCAGGGTAATCAGGATGTGATTACCAGCTTGCAGCTTTGTTGACTGAACAGGGTTGTGTTCTGCACCACTGAGCAGCTTTACTATGCATGAGACTCGTGCTATTCCCCTTGGGAACGCTGCCTTGACACTAAGCATTGATCAAAATGGAAGTTGGTGACCCAGCAATGCAACCTCTCAGGTATAGGAACAATCCTACTGCTGGAAATAATATCTAAAGCTATACTCTTTAATAGAATACAAAAGGTCATAATCCAGTTACAGATTATTTTAAGCAAAAAAAATGTAAAACAACACTGTAGTCCTTGTGCTGTAAGGGAAACTTTGATAGCCCAACAATACTCAAACAAAAAAAAAAGGGTAGGTACATTTTCTGTGGCCTGATCAGCCTGTATCATCAGCAATATTTGAATGAATTCACTGCTCTAGGTTAAACAAAAGCTAAGGAGAGAAAGAAGCAGACAGAAAACTAAAATCAGCCAAGTATATGACTGGAAGACAATGAATAATACAACTGGCTTCAAGGATGTTATACAGTGCTTCCAACAGCTTTCAAGCCTTATTTACCTAAGGTTGAAATTTACAAACCAGAGGATGATAAATGGTTAAGCAATGACTCCATTTCAAGCACTAACAGTGATTATAAAGGATTATGCAGTTTTGCTTAAGAGATCAGAAATGGCAGGTAGGGGTGACAAATAAAGAAGCATACGGATAAATCTGATTCTAGAAGCCTGAAGGCAATTGAAGTTTGCACTCACTAGATAACTATGTGTAAAACAGTTATGGATCTAGTATGCCAGAAATGCATGTATTCTGGCTAATAATCCACTTCTCCTAATTGCTTTTGATTCAGTCAAAAAATTGTCGCTGTTACTGGCTGCCAAAGAAACAATCTAAACCTTTCATTTGTAGCTGATTGCAATGCAGAGTCAAGAGAGTCAAAATGCTCCCATGCCAAGAAAAATGATGACCAGTGTGGCAGATCTCTGTTAGAATTTAGCAACATGGCTAGTAATTTTGATAATTCTGATTCAGCAAACGATGAGTGCATGTGTTTACATAAAATCCATTAACAGCTCATCAGATGCTTCTATATAAACAACAATGCTTGCTGAATCAAGGCCTGAATTATTAACTCTCATGAGGTAGCTTTTTTTCTTAAACACATACACACTGATGTACAGGTACATGAGAAGACACTGACTAGGATGAAGGCAGAAAACAGCTCTGTGAGGAAAAGTTTGCAGGTTTGGAACATCAAATAGCATTGCCACTGGCAAACTGAAAAGGAGCTCTACTGTATATGGGTGGTTGTTAGTTTTAAAACACAAGCAACACATGGAAAAAAGCCTATTGGGGAACATGATATTGCAGTAAGCAATTTACCAACAGCACAGCTGAATCTGTCATCACTGCTCTAACCAAAGCTGTGTCACTTCTAACTTTCACTTCAAATTAAACCCAATTAATTTGGAAATACTGAGTACCTTCCAATTTAGCTATTTTATTCAAAGAGTGTGAGTATATGCGGTTGTTGTGGGAGAAGTATTATCACAAGTTCCATCTGGAATGTATACTAGAAGAAGATGCAGGAAAACATGACCTGAAAGCCACACACACGGAACACAAATGCTGCCTAGCTTCAAGTGCCAAAGAAAAAAAAAAAAAAGTGGTTTGAAGATTCTGCCAGATCACAACAACTAAGTGATTAAGTGCAACAGAGAAGACAAGTCTTTCTCCAGGATGGAAGGCCACTGTGCTCTGCTGTGTGCTTCTTGAATTCTGTCTCCACTTTCTTCTTTACTGTCCATTTCAGATTTAATGCCCCCTTTGCCTTTCTGCAAAATTTAACACTTGGGTTTCACTCATGTCTTCCTCTGTTAGGAAAAAATAAATAAATAAAAGCTGGATTAAGACATCTTCCTTCTCTTTTATCCTAAATGGGAAAAGAGAGCAGGGAGCAAAGGTACAACTCCATCATAGCAGTATAGCAAGTTAAGAAATTATGTTGGGGATGAGTTTTGGTTCATGTGTCAATCACATGACACTCACCAGAAGCACAATGTTGCAGCAGTGGCTCTGCCAGCTGACAGCCCAGTATGCTTATGCCAACATAAAATGGATTTAAAAGCAGATACCTTTTGCAAGAGGTGGTGCTGGAAATCTTCTCATACAACATGGTCCACTGACAGATGTGCTTGAGTCTGTTTCCTTGAGCATTTCCTAACCTTCTTGTTGGAGGAAACAGCACGTATTTTTTTTCTCATGAATGATAACATTCAAAATATACTATTTTCCTCAGATGTCACTGCATCCGGTTGAGTGAGGTTATGAACCCAGTTTTAGCATTAGCTATATTTTGTGTTTGTTTTCCTTAAATTCTGCCCATTAAAGATCTTTTAGGATTAGGTAGAGAACATTACTTATAGACCTCTTAAACGTATTTTTAATTCATTAAAAAGACAAGTCAGAAGCTCACTCTTACTTCTGCCACTTTAGCTGGTATGATGTTTCCTTCATATGGGCATCCCAATGCACATGACACATACCTAAAATAAAAAGAACACACAAAGATAGTTCTGTTTTATAGATGCACATCTGTGTCTCTCCATGCTACATTAAACCAAAAAAAAAATTAAACATAATTTTGAATATTTAAGCCAGTCAATAAAGATTTGAATGAAAAGTTAGAATTACATCAGATGAAAATAGAAGGTTTATCCATTTTTGTTTTAAAAAATAGAACAGATTTATAGCTTTCTTTATGCTTAATGTATGTCACAAGTTGTAAAGGACTGGCAATGCAGCCAACCAAACGCGGCTGCAGGAGACTTCAATTTTTCTTGGCATTTCCTTCTGAAGTTCTAAGAGCCAGCTCAAGTTTTGCCTTGCCTGGCCCACACTAGGCATCAGAGGAAAATACCACCTTCTTCCTTGTACTAGCTACTCGGATCCTAGAGAGCAACACATGGACCCAAGCAACTTATAACAACCCCATCATCTCATAAGCCATCAGAATTGTGATGAACAGGGTAGCTTTCAGCCTCTCCCTCTGTACTGGTATTTCTGTCCCAGTCTCCCAGAAGAATCACAGCTCCATTGCAAGCTGTAGTTCAGGTACACTTTGGGAAAAGAAGAAATTGAGAAGCCAGACCGTCTCTCAGCAGCTGTTGGTTTCACAAAGCTCAAAACTCAAAAGCCAAACCGAGCCTCCATTGCTGAGTCCTAATGCTGTGTTACCATAGAATTTGGTTTAAATTTCCCTCTTTTAATGACAATTAAGACCCATGAAATTCCAGTTAAACTTCTAATTGTTTATCTTAAATTGATTAGGAATAGGACTAAACTAACTAGAAACAGCCATTGAAACTCAAAATAAAAGGGATTTACAAAAGATTCAGAGGCAGGCAGAGACCCAGTTCCAGTGGGAGGTGGCTCAACTGCTTAATAGAAGAATGAGAGTCTTCATCAATCCCCCATCATTCCCCTTCCCTCAATACTGAAGAATATAATGCAAAATTATACACTGTATAACACAAATGGGATTGAACCAATGCTAGTTTGTAGGTAGTCAAGGTCTGTAGGGTAAAGTATATATTATTTCTTTGCAGTTGAAAGAGAAACTGATAGAACGTAAAATTAGGATGCATAATAGGCAAAAACAAATTGTGACACAAAAAAAAGTCAACAATTTAATGCACAGAATATATCCCATCCCTTACATGAAGGTATGGTGTTGGCACACTGGAAGCAGCAATAAGAATGAAGCAAAATTTGACCTCAAGGAGAACTTGATTAGCCCTGACAAAGAAATGCAAATTAATTTTGTTGCCACAAAAGTGGTTGGGTCCATTACATCCTGCTCATAATTTTAGTCCAGATGCCTACTAGGCATGATTTCAATTATCCATATGTCATTATGAAAAACAGGTTTTTGAAACTTGGCCACAGACTTTATTAAATGTCACCCCCAATTTAGATGCCACCGTTTAAGTTTCAAAATCCTAAATTTTCTTATCTACATTAAAGATTATAAAGCAGCTACTGTTAACAGTTAAACACTGCCCTGCTTTTCAATGACACATAACTCAAAACAATTCAGGATAATTTCCCTAATTTTTAATGCATACACAGTTTTTCAAATGAAACCAAGCATGAAAACTTTCAGACCCAAAGGACTGCTTTTTACATAATCGTACAGTGCCTAGAGGTAGTGAATACACAGACTTTTACTGAAATTATTTTGCAACATCAGCCACAGCACTTATAAAGTAAGAACAATACTACATACAAAGTAAATGCAAAACATACAGTGAGCATCTGCACATGTTCCCTTTAATTACACATATCTTTACATGTTCCTAGAGGCTACATATGTTAGATCAAGAAGACGTGCATTTGGTAGTGATAATGTGGCATGAATGACATCTGGAATTGAGTAGGGTGAACAAAAGTAAAAGCAGGCCAAAAGGTATCTAGAGAACAAGAGAATACTCCCTGTGGTTCACACCAGTGAGCAGAAACTTGCCTGAGCTCACATAATTCAGCTGGGCTTGCTGGGGTATGAAAGTATGTGGTGACCTGAGGAATCTGCCTACTATACTGTACAAATCTGTTTGAGATTATGAACTCTCTGCATGCTTACACTGTTGCAACTAGACTGACATTTTAAACAAGGAAAATATGACAGATATAATCTATCTTGGTATCTGATATTCAATATTAAACTGGAGAAAATTACGATTATTGAAGGAATGTGACAGGTAAAGATCTTCCTACCAGAGAGAGAACAAAGTCCTGGGAAAGAACTGCTTTTCAGCAGAGTTCATCAAGGATGAGCTTGTCAGAATTTTATCTAATTCATTTAATGTATTGGCATAAAAAATGGAGTTGTGGTGATAACATTATAAATTTCTCAGTACTGTCAATACAAAAAACCCCACAGGGAATCCATGGAGAAAGGACAGGAGCACTAGAAATGGGACTCAGCTGATGACAACAAAGAAAGTGAAATGCTTAAAATGAGGCTGTAAAGAGTAAAATACACTCCAAAAATATATCAGCACAAGCATTTTTAATAGAGGATTAAAAGTATTAATTCCATTTGAGAAGGTCTTGCTATATTTTTATTGGACAAGAGATACAATCTGAGTAATTAGTAGAAAAAGTAATGCAAACTGGAACAGATGCAGGGAAGGGCTGAGTACAGCTAGCAGGGGTACAGACACTCTATATGAAAGGAGAAAATATGCATGCCTGTGAAAGAGGAAAGATAATTATGTGTCCAGCCTGAGCACTGTCAAGACACCTAGACTTTAGGCAGCACCAGGTGGGATGCTTCGTAATTACATTTTTGTGGTTCCGAATTAATAAGTTTAAGTCAGAGGAAATAATTTGAGCAGAAAGGCAGATCTGTTATCTACAGATACGTTTGGCTGTTACATTTTCTTTTTTGTGTATGTAATAACTCATAAGGCATTAAAAGCACAATAAAATCAGCCAAAGTAGGGTCCCAAGATCTTCACCCATACCCCTTCAAAATGGGGGACAACTTTGAAGAACATGCTGAAGAGCTACTTAGGAAGAAGAAAGCTAACAAGACAGAGCCACAGAAAGCAACAGAAGACATAAGTTTAAAGAAGAGTCTGGTCAACTGCAGCAAACACTACCGACAGGTCAAGAAGAATGAGGATAAGACTACTGTTTCTGAGATCTTGTCATCAGGGAGTTTGGTGAGAGCTGTTGCAGTTGCAAGCAAGGAACAGAAGCCAAAGTGTAGGAGTTACAGGAGGGAACCACAGAAAGGTCTCCAGAGAGTAATTATAAACAGCGCCTTCAATGAAATTTGGAATGTAGAAAAGACAAGCAATGAAATATGATATGAAGAACCAAGTAGGGTCAAAGGTGCAATTTTTAAGAGACAAACGCTTACTTATATTGCAGTGGAAAAGAGTCAGAGGACAGAGAGGGGTTAGGAAAGAGAATAAGGGGGGGGGGGAGAGGGAGAACAGAACATGGGGTCATTTGGGCAAGTGGAAGGGGTACAGATGGCAAGTAGACAAGAAACTCCTGCTGCTTTGACAGTGGAGGAGAAAGAGAAAGGATTAGGGGAGAGTAAGAAGACAGTGACAGAGGGAAGAGCATACTGTATCTATTTTTCCTTAACAGAAAACACAAGATCCTATGTGAGGAAAAGCAGCAGAGGGAAAAAGAGGGAAGAGTTTGAGCCATGAGTTACAGAGGCAACTGGGATTTAATTTGGGGATTAAGTTAAATTGGAGAATACAGCTGTTTTCTAAAAAGATGGCAGGACTAAAAGACAAAAAGACACTGTAATGGAAAAGACTCTCTTGGTCTCAGGATGTTCACCAGAGACACCCCACAGTACAAGAGCAGAAGCAAGTATCTGGAAGTTCACAAAGCAGACTCTGCAATGGAAGTGTTTAATTCTAAGTATGTGCTTAAATCTTTGCTGAATCAAGGCCAGACATGTTAGCAGCTTAACTGCATCTTTAGCATGCAATCAAGAAAAGAGCCCATGCAACCAGAGGTGGAAACAAGGACCTGCAATAAGTGATCATATCTATAGAGCTGCTTTAGGAACATGAGTAAATGCTGTTTTGCTCATTCAGGTTCAGTGAAATCAGAATTCCTCCCTTTGATAAAAAGAAGTTCTCTACTTATTTGACCTGGCAGTTTATCCAGTCTCTTGCCTGTTCTGCACTGCAGGTGAGTATCGTTTGGTCTTCTAAATTGTTTTCTATGTATATAAAAACAAAAAAATAAACTCCCAAAACTTTACTGTGTAATATTTTGGACAAAAATGCTGAACAGCCTCTGGGGATGGGGAGGGAGAAGGAAGAGGAAGAAAGTTTTCAATTTCTTCGAGTAAGCCAAAACCAAATCACAATGTTCCACAAATGGTATAGACAGTATAAGGTCCCCATGATCAAGGTCACTAGGAATGGTGATAATCACCACAGCAGCCCAATGACTGTGAAGTGCAGGATATAAAACCACAAACAGGCTAAATGAGCAAACATTTCATAACCAAAGTGTGTTAAAAGGAAAATGAATCTAAGCAGAAACTGAACTCCATGTTGTAATCAGCCCTTTGTCAGCTTGTTTCAGCAAGCGTTCCAGAGCCAGACCCACAGCTGCTACCACAGCTGGAAGCATGAAGCCTCCTGAGAAGCCAGTTGCAGACTCAGATGCTGCTGTTTCCTGTTTATTATTATAGTGTAAGTTCGCATATAATTTACCATGTTCGCTGCAGATGTATTTATTTTTATTGGATGTTCGTGCTAAAATGTATATGCCTATCATTTGGTGATTTCCCATTATCAAGATTGATATATACTGTCTCTTTGCAAAGGAAGCCATTTGTTAAAAACCAGACAATCTTTACTGTAAGAAGAGCGGAAATAAAAAGAAGAGGGGAAAGAAGATTCTTCCAGAAATAGAATCTCCAAGCCAAGCTTAAATGTGTAAATAAGGCCAGGATTTTTTTTCCACATTTGATTAAAAACAAAGAAAAAAAACCAAAAAA